CTGTTTAAGTTACCTTGGTTACCAGTTGCTGCCTGGGCCCAATTCAAAGTGCTTGTTTTGACATATAAAGTCCTAAACGGCTTGGGCCCTGGATACCTGAAGGACCGCCTCCTTCCATATGAGTTAAGATCTAGCCAGGGGGCCCTTTTGAAAGAGCCATCCCTCAAGGAGGTAAGAGAGATGGCTTGTAGGCAAAGGGCTTTTCGGCAGCTGCCCCCAGACTATGGAATGCCGTCCCGACTGAAATTCATCTGGCACCGACACTGATGACATTTCAGCACCAGGTCAAAACCTTCCTGTTCCAGAAGGCTTTTAATTGAAATAACATCAACTGTGGGTCCTGATGATAATTCTAATTGTATTTTAATCATTGTATCTTTTGTTGTATCTTGATTGAGTTTTAATTGTTGTAAGCCACCCAAAGACCTCTGGGTAGAGTGGGCGGCATATAAAATAAAATAAAATAAAATAAATAAATAAATATGAGGCTGCTACCACCGCATAAGGCCATCAAGACCTTCATTCAGGGGGCACTTTGGTGAGTCACTTTCCTTAAGCCTGAAACTGACACTAGTGGCAGAAAGCATTTGTCTGTCCCAAGTGTCTGAAGAATGCCCCATGCCTCTCCTCTATAACCCTTGCAATAAGACTATACTTGAGTAGCATGATTTTTCTCATACTGTATTACAGATGAGGTCAGAGAACCAAGTAGACACAAACCACAAAGCTGAGTTTCAAGGACAGGCCTCTTTATTTGTAAAACACACTTTTAATATTGTGTTAGATACCAGTCAACAAGACTGAACTTCAATCCTAGCCATCTGTGTAAAGTCACTGCCAACACTGTTCCCACGCACAGAGCTACAGGGAAGGCAAATGACCATTCTTTTGGTTTCTACAGCAGGATGAACAGTTAAATTGAAGGAGAGAGCATGTATGTACAGACATAAATAAACAAGCACCTTCTGCAGGCAACAGCCTTAGAAAAACCCCAGGCAGAGAAGACGGAATGGGGTTTGCAATTCAGGTCAATACATTTTCTGCAGCTGCAATATAAATGCACTCTGGCTGTGAATGAGCCATAACAGCCATGTTGTACATCCTCCTGCCTGCTGGAACCTTAGATGTCGAGGTTTTCGACATCCTTCATTCACTGTAAGTGTCAACACCATTACACATTTCTTGAGGAAAAGCAACTCAGCTAAATGAAGATGACACACTTTACGGTTGTGATCACCAAGTCAAATGAAAATGTAATGGAAATAATATTTTGGCCTTGACATGGCAACATATGGCTGCAAAAATGCAACACATCAAACCAAAAGCACCGGACATCCACTTTTTGTTTTGATTGGGTGTGTGTGTGCTGGGTGGGGCTGTGGGACACTGCCATAGACTTCCTAGAGCACTGGTTCCCAACCCTTTTTTGAGTTGTGATTCCCTTTTATAATAGCCAAGTAACCGGCAAACCCCCACCATGATTGCATAAAAAAAATTTAATACGGTAAAATCATCCCTTCTCAGAATGTAGAGGCTTCTGTCTCCCCCAAAAGGCCTATTTCTCATGCATTCACATACACACTAATTTTAATATCCAGTTCTGAAAGGTCAAGGAAGAAATTATTTAACAAGGGCTACAACACATATAAGGTAACCCATGACCCTCAGAAAACACTTTGCAAAACTCTTGGGGGGTCATGACCTCTAGGTTGGGAAACACTGTACTAGAGTAAGTAGTATTACTTCTGGAAGCCTCCAGAGACAGAAAATCTAACTTCTTTTTTCTTCAAGAATCTTCTGTTACTGGAGAGTGGAGGTGCTTACAAAAATGGGGGAGGGGGGTGCTTACAAAAATGGCCAAACATTTTGTCCATTCTTGCAATAGATGTATGGATACTAAGAGCATGGCCAACCACCATGGCCTGTTTGTACCGATACACGTTGAATCAAGACCACCTATGTCAAAATAAACAGCATTTACCCACTAAGAGTATTTAGAATAATCAAGACAGGAGCAAAGAGAAAGGGCTTTTCACATTACATTAGGTATCCTGAAGCCATTTCATCACTCAAAGCTTCTAGATTTGAGGAAAAATTCAGAGGACTATTTCCGGTGTCAATTATACCACTCTGGCTAGCAGATATCTTCCAACGTCTCTGCTCTAGTTGCAGCTCAAGAAATAAAAGACATGAGAAGCAACAACTGACCATCTTTTTCCTTGGCCTTACTGACATGAAGGGATATTAAACTTCAAACTGGCAAAGTTTATGTT